ATCTTAAGTTAGTAACTGCTGCGTGTCTCTATCCAGGGGGGTTTACCCGAGGGCCAGACCAGAGTGGAATGAGAGAGATTATCAGCACGAGTGAGTGAAAGTCTTACAAACTGCTGTTTTTGGGAGAAACACAAAAACCCTTCATGAACAATTGTTTTTTAACCTTTTTCTCCCTCTACAGGACATCCTACTCGGGCTACTCAAAGTCCAAGCCTGAATACAACAGAAGCAGTTATGGTAACGAGTAAGTATTTTTGCATCTATGGCCATACCTTTTTTTTTTTTGCAGACAAACTTCAACCTCAAAATGCTAAGCCAAAAATGCAAATAGCAACGGAATGCTTTTTCATTCAAAATACATTACCTCCTTAAGAGTTAAGAGTTTAAATGAATTTCAAATCATTGCTTTTTTTCATCTTTTTTAAAAACAAGGATATGCTTTGGTTTTAGTTTTAAGATAAAGATAAAATATCCATGTCACATTAAAGAATCATTTAGACTAACAGCTCTCTAGTGCACAGTCTGTATTATGTCCCATTGCGCTTTTATGAGAATAGCTCAGGTAATTGTCCCGTGGGCTCACAGGGAGTGAGTGGTTATCTCATGCTGTGCCTCCTGCGTGGTCTAATATGGCAGCTCCCTTGTGAGGATGTGTCATCATTTCAATACGCTTACGCAGTCCCACAACATTTATTTCCATCCAGAGTTGCTTTAATTTTTTGCCAACATCCTGTATTGATGACAGTATCGTTGGAGCACAGCGTAAAGTCTTCTCTGCATAGCTCAAAGAGTCTCAGTGGGGTTAATGTCAGGATTCATGATGTCTTGTGCCCCCTGAACTACTCTTTTAGTTTCAGTGTGATGAACTGGAATTGTCATCAGGGGAGGGGAAATCAGCAGGCACTAGGCATGATGGGTGCATTGCTTCCTCTCTTCTTTTCCTGATGAGCAATCCCTCGAGAGCAGGTTAGACCTGGAGTCATCAAACCACTTGACCTTTGTCCACGATTACAAATCATGGATAAAATTATGCAAATGCTCCCAAGCAAAGGTTTAAATAATGTTCTGAATAATTTTAACCCAACTTGAATAGTTTCAGCAGTCTCTTTAGTTGTTCTCTTTGCTTGCTCCAGGGCTAATAATTTGGCCCATCTGGTCCATCTTGTTTTTTCTCACAAGCACAGGATATGTTTTCTGACATGGGTGTGCTTCATCAGGACTAAATAACCTGCTCCCAGCAGAAACACATTAATAAATGCAGTAATTATCTAGTGAAAGGTTCCTGCTATTCACTTAGTTCAATCCAGAGGTTGACTTGTGTTTATAAGGCCACCATAGTGTACAGTATTCAGCTGCATTTAATGCCCAACCCTTCCAGAAACTACCCACACACATCAAAACTCTTGGATCATATATTATTATTATTTAGAAAGAAACTTATATTCAGGGCAAACTTTATTTCTATGATTTTGGTTATTTGTTCTTTGAGTGTTCTTGCTATTTTACGCTTTCACCTCCTCATCGTTCAGAGGCAGATATGGTGTTTGATGATGTGAACCAATTACAGTGTATAAAAGAAAGTGTAATTAGACAGGCTACAATGTAACATTTTGATGCACTGGTAATACAATTCATTTTAATTTGAAACTTTAAGTTCACACATGTTACTAAAGTTGAATTTTAATCTTTGATGCGGAGTAATAACTTGTAATACAGTCAGAAAATTATCTAACATTTCCTTTAGCATTAATTTAGAATATGCATAGCATCTTATTCTGTCTTACCATCAGTCCAAAAGCAGACCAGTATTATTTTAGGAGGCTCTAATTATTTTGCACTGACCTCTTATCAAACTGAAAGTTTGTGGGAGCAAATTTTATGCCAGATAAAAACAAGTGATATCTTACTAGTTTGAGATGCAGAATTATAACTATGTGCTGATGCATGATTTCCCCCGATTTCCTTTCCAGACCCGACATGTATGACACTCCGTCCACTTACAGAAGCACCTACGCTAAATCGCCACCCATGAAATCGGGTCAAGATGTTCCAGATGCACCAAAGTCATCACGTCTGATCCCACTCTGGGTTCAGTTTGTGTTCTTCCTGGCTGTGGCAGTCTTCCTCTACTTAGTTTTTTCCACTATGGAGACAAATGAAACCCCCAAAGGGATAAAATGATTTTTTTTAAAACCATTATTTCCTTATATTGAATTTTAAGGAATGCACATGATTAAATGCATGCATTTTAAACATTTTATGCAAGATTGTGTTTTTAACAGCAGTACATTCTCTGCTTATGCTTTTAGGCAAAATGTTTATTTGTCACTGAGCTTCAGTACATTATCACTACTCGAATC